TGGACATTCTGATACACACACATCTGGTGGTTTAAGCTGGCCTTGGCAAGTCAGCTAAGGCTTGGTGAAATTTTTAAAAAACGAAACAGAACAAAACCAAAGTGTGCTCCCCCAAATAATGAGTCAAGACAGTTTTATCTTCCAGGATGCTCCAATTATTCCAAAAGCATCATTATCTCAGTCTTTTTTCTACTTACATGCTTTGGAAAATATGTTAACCCTAAACTTAATTACAGAGCGGCATTTCTTTTAAATAACAGGAGACAAAAGAGCAGCAATCTACAGCATATCATTTGAGCAAAGTCCAGAAGCTGACAGGAATTTGGGAAGAATTGAGAGGCTACACTCTGTAAGATAATGAAATAAACATAGGTAAAATTGTATCTTCTGGAAAGAAATGACATACATTATAAATGATGGACTATAACCAAATAATACACTATGAATGGGCTCAGTACTCATCTTTATCTGCATTTTAACCTAATCATCTTATGTAGATACTGAAACAAATATTGAAATCATTTTTTTCCTTAAAGAATATTTACATTGCATAGAAATACCTGGGGAAGGATGAAATAAGAGTATTTGTTCTCAAAATGCATCCTTGTAGACATCTGGTAATATTTATATTGTAGAAATGAATCAGACACAAAGTTAGCCATGTGGAGAATAAACCAATGAAAATATAATCATTGAGCTTCTCTTGAAAGCTCTGGTTTCTCCGGGAACTGCTGCTAAAATTTCCTCTTTTTGAAATTAAACTTGCCTCCATTCTCTTTCTTTTTTATTTGTTTGTTTTTAACAAAACCACCACAAACTTTACCTCAGATAAAATGCATTCTGTCCACAGCTGAACTAATAACTGTGCGGTGACATTTCAGCACTACGAAGGATTACCTCAAAAGGTCATGTCAACCCATCCTGACCGAGGACAACCACTGCCAGCCTGTTCATCAATATTTGGGACATGACGTAGACTTTCATGTTTTTAACACCAAATGTCACACACCTAGCAAGAGAAGAGGCCTTTATTTAGGAAAAAATAACCCTAACATTACATTGGATTATGATGACCAAACTACAAGTATGTGTTGCAAAACAAAAATACATTCCATGGGAGACTGTTCTCCTAGGGAGAAGGGAAGACAGAGGAGGACTGATCTCATCCAGGTATGCCTCCTCTAAACACATGGAGAGTGGTCATGGTAGGTAATCATTAGGCAAAATAAATTCTTGTAAGCTTTACCCACTTAACGGACACTATTACTGTAATCCACATGGAGAAATGAGCTTGATTCATTCCTTTCCCTTGGAAACTGAGGATTGCACTGTGAGCTCTGTACCCATATTCTTACATCCCCTGTGGGTTAGAGGGGATATGTGAACCCTTCCTGGATCCTCCTTTATATCCCACAAGAAATTGAAATTTTTGATTCTCTAAAGTACACCTATAAACTTTAAGAGAAAAAAAAAAACAAAAAAAACAACTTCAGAATAAAGAATTCTTCCAAAAATCTCCTTAATTGGGGAAGCTGGTTTTGTTGATGGTTCCTGCATGTGACATAATTTGTAAAATATTTTCTAGTATCGTTCTTAGGTTAAGATTATAAATTGTGTGTGTGTGGGGGGGGTGTGTGGGTGTGTAGTAGGTATTTCAAAGTAGATACTCAATAATTAGGAGTTGCTAATATTGTTCGTTGGAAAACCATGACTTTGGAAATGAGAAAAAACAGAAGAACAACTTGTACAAGTTTGCTCAGAGGAGGAGGAGTGTGCGTGGTGTATAACCACAGCATCCTGAGAGAGGGTCATAGAGAATCGGCGTCTGAGCCTGGACTTAACACAGGAGCTTGTCTGTTCCACATCTGGACTCTACTGCACTTCACACTCTGCCCCTGCTCAAAACCACAGGCAATATGGAACTAAATCTCACTCTTGGGCAGGAGAGCAGTAGGTGGTGTGGTAGTTAAGGCACTGGACTCCCATATGGCCAACTGCAGTTCAAGTCCTGGATCTGGCAGCTTGCTTTCCTTCTTTCCCTCTCTCTCTCTTTGTTTCTCTCTGGTGAGCACACCTGCCCTACAGCAAATTAAATAATAATGATAAATTAAATAAAATATAAAAATCTTTTTTTTTCAAGAGAGGGTTTTTGTTTCTGTTTTTGTTTTGCTATATAGGGTACATACACTCACTGGAGAGAGAGAAAGTGAGAAATCATCCCCTGGGAGGATGGCAATGCCGCAATCCCTCAGGATTTTGGGCATGCACACACAAGCACCCAGCGTTTGTTTTAAGTTTCTGTGTCTGTGGCTCAAACCACTGTACACTACATGGGAGTTCAGTGATGTAACCATTATGCCACCTGCTGGTACCTAAAATAAATAATTCTAAAGAAAAAAGGAAAATAAATCTTACACTGGGTATCCTGGAGCATGGAATCAGTGTTTAAAAGTGCTGGTGAAGGCGAAGAAGGCCAAGTCTGTGCTGTTATTTAAAATAAAATTGAGGGCCAGCAGATTGCATAATGGTTGTGTCACTGTGTTCCCATGTAGTTGCTATTCTACTTCCAGATCCGACAGCTTAAAATTCATGCCAAGCATATGTGCATGCATGCCTAAAATCCAGAGAAGAGAATGGAGAAGAGACTGTGGCCTGGCCATCCTCCCCAGTGGGTGATTTCTCACTTTCTGTCTCTCTGTCTCTCTGTCTCTCTCTGTTTCTCTGGCAAGTGTGCACACCTGATAGCAAAAATCTCTCTTAGAAAAGAAAGAAAGGAAGAAAAGAAAGAAAGGAAGAAAGAAAGAAAGAGAGAATAAAATAAGAATTTGATTAGATTTCAGAATTGAAGCGATTTCTCTTAAAATCTAAATTAGTATCTTTCTAACTCCCTGTGATTGGCCATATTCTTTTAAAAATCAATTATTGGGCCAGCAGGTGGTGTGGTGGTTTAAAGGTGCTGGATTTCCACATGACCAACCATGGTTCAGGTCCTGGACTTGGCGACTTGTTTTCTTGCTTTCCCTTTCTCTCTCTTTCTCTGTCTCTCCGTGATTAAATTTTAAAATAATAATAATAACAAATGGAATTAAATTTTTAAAAATTAAAAAAAAATCAATTATTGGGGCCGGCAGGTGGCATGGTAGTTAAGGTGCTAGACTCCCACATGGCTGATTGCAGTTCGAGTCCCAGACAAGGTAGCTTGCTATCTCACTTTCTCTCTGTCGGGTCAAATTAAAATTAATGATAATAAATAAAATAATTTTAAAAAATCAATTCTCTTCTTAAATATAAAAGTAGTCAGAAATTCAATTCTATTTTTCCATTCTTTTGTTATTTACATAATCTTAAAGATAAGGTAGAAGGACACATCACAGCTTGACACCAAATGAAAATGCCCCACCTGGCCTGAGCTGTTGAGATCACCAGTGAATCTGGGAGTGGGGTTAGGAAGAAAACCCTGGACACAGCATTCCCTGGTTCAAAGTCCAGGCAAGCAAGTTTCTAGGAGAGGGTCAATCTATCACATCAGGCTCCTTGTTTTCTGCATAGGACTTGGTCCAACTCCCTATTTTTAAATAGAAAAATAATGATAATTATTTTTTAGAGAGATTTTTGCCATTGGACACATGCGCTTACTGGAGAGACAAAGAGAGACAGAGAAACAGAAAGCAAGAAGGCATCCCCCACCAGGAAAGATGGCCACACCATAACCCCTTCTCCTCAGCTCTCCTCTCAGGATATTGGGCATGCACACACATACTCCTGGCATGAGTTTTAATCTACCAGGTCCAGGACTTGAACCACCACTGACTATGTGGGAGTCCAGCGACATAACCACCACACAATCTGCTTGCCCTGATCATTTTTCTAGAGTCATTGCTAAATAGCATTTGCATCACTATCTTGTCCTGGTGCTTATTCTTTATTAATAAACTATTGTCTTTACAAATGGCCTGCTTTTTTCCCAGGAAGATGACCTAAGGCAGCAACAGCATGAAATATAACCATCATTTCTCTCAGTAGCTAATCTAGACAATGTTATTTTTGGTAAAAGGGAAATTGGTTTTCCTTTCTGTACAGCTTCTATACTGGCTGGAGTGAATTGACCCATGACTGAAATTCCTGGGAGTCATTCTACTGCATTTCATGGATAAGCTATTTTTCCCCCTCCATGGACACTGAACCCTTAGTACTTCAACAGGGGTTATATTATCGATTCAAGTCGGTGCCTACTAGCACTCATCAAGAATTAATCATCCTTCCTTCCTTCCTCTTTATCATTCTTATTCTTTTTTTTCTTCCATTCCCTTCCCTTTTCCCTACCATCCCTTCCTTTCTCCTTTCTGCTTCATGCAAGCTGGTGTTCTTTATGGCTACACGGGTCAGGATAAGAGCAGCCTTCCTGGCAGACAGCACCCCATCCTAGCATAAAGTACGCTCCAAGCTTCTCTTATCACGAGAGCTAGCACCAGACTTGACTTTAAGCAAATAGCTGCACACGTACGAATCCTTACAGAATAATAGGTTTGCAATATAGGACTTCAGTCACTCATTGGGCCTTAACAAACTTACAAATGTTGCAGGTAATCAACATGTAGACATAACCAACAAAGAAATTACCCTCCTATTGATTGCAGGTGCGTTGGTTCTCCAGTCACCACAGGTAGAGACAGACTAACCTGCAAGTTCTAGAACCATCTACCATGACTGGGGGAGTATCACAAAGAATCAAGGGGCCCTTTTAGAGAGCCATGCTTCTAACTTTGTGATAGTTTTCTCCAGATTCCAAAATGAGTTCTCTGGATATCTTCCTGCTAAAAAATGAAAGGGAATGGAGTTTCCCCAACAAAGGAATAAAGACTATGAACCGGGAACCATGATGAAACTGAGATTTGATGGTCCAAGTGCGCATGGATGGGAAGTGACATGTGAGGTCATGAGATGAGCATGGCTGTGGCAGTGAGGCAGGGAAGGGGGGAGAGAGGTGGCATGGCGCTCACCGCTGCTTCCTCTACTGGCTCCTCTGCCCGAGCATCCAGTCCAAGGTCCAGTCCAGCAGCAGGTGTGGCAGCTGCAGAGGGCTCCTCTGCTTTCAGCTCTGTGGGTGGAGCCTGTTCAGATTCAGCCTTGAATTGTTTATTTTGGGAGTTAAGGAAAAAGAGTCAACATGTGAATAGATGGCATTACAGAATACGGGACAGTTAAGATCTTCGACATCTCATAGGCAACTAGTTTCACAAAATCTGTGCTGGAAAAGGAAAAAACCCCTAATTTGACATCAAGGGCCTCTACAGAACTGAAAAGTCTAGGAAATAAATCTTATTAAAATTCTCTTTTATCATCACTGTGAATCGTTATTTTCTTTGAAGGCAGAAGACTCACCGGTTGCGCTGTCAACTTGACTTACTTACAACATTTTGACTACTCATTCCTTGTGACAACTAAGAGATCCAAAAACTAGCACTTCGTTATATTTAACAGGAAGAAAGAGAGAGAAAGAAGAGGCTAGGAGGTCTCACATTTGCCAGTTGGAAGGAGTGAGGAAGAAATCCCAGGAACACCGTTCTGAGATCTTTCAGTTCTGCTATTACGCATTGTTCCAAAAATTCAAAAGGTCACCCTAACATTTGGATTAAAATGCATTCATTCAAACCAATAGGACCCTATGAAGTGGCTGTCTTGCCACTTCCAAAGCTGGAAGAAACAGGCCCAGCTTTCTGGCTACTGGTTACCATGACCATGGGTAACTTGGCCACCACAGTGTAAATTACTGTTCCTTTATTCTCCTCCCGCCAACAAAATCTTCAGTGATCAAATTATTTCATAGAAAAAATGAGTTCTTTAAGGACCAGGAAAGAATTCCCAATGGTCTCAACTAGACACATTTAATTGTGTGGTCAAAGTAAGGTCTTCCCATCTGTGACTTCTATACATACACATCATCCCAATGCTGTGATTACATGCTGAATCAGACCTATGGCATCTCTTAGCTCAAGACCTTTTGACTTATTTTATTTTAAATTAATTAATAAATTAACATTCATTTACTGAGCACGTCACAGCATAGAAAATGTTATAATGCGTAGTTATCATCGATAATTTTCCATTTTTAATTTCATATATATGTGTGTGTGTATATATATATATGTATATATATATATACATATATATATATATGTATGTTCTCCCCCTGTTTCTCATCCTCTGCCATTTCCCACCCTCCTCCCACACTATCTCTGGTATCTACAGCTGTTTTCCATTCCTTCCCCCCCCATTTTTGATTCGCAAAATGTTTTAAATTGCTACTTTCAATAGCAAGTCCAGCTGGTATATACATATCTGTGAATACATGTCTAACTTTAGGCACGAAGCTCTGAGTAGAATGAATGTGCTATAAAGTAGCGCCTAGCTGATGCTATAAATTAGTAAAATAAAACAACAACTACTAGCCATTGAAAGCATCATAGTCAATGCATGTCACGGCAACCACTAAAGAGAACCACAGGCCAGTTGCTGGCATGGTGGTGGCAGTAGCAGGATCTCACGTGGCTCGAGTCCTTGACTCAATGGCTTGAAAAGTGCACTGGGCATGTGTACATGTGTGTCCAAAATCCTGAAGGGAACTTGGAGGAGGGACTGTGGCACGGCCATCTCTCCTTTGGGGTGCTTCCTCACATTCTCTCTCTCTCTCTCTCTGGTGGGTGCACATACCCTATATCTAAATTTTTAAGTGACTCCTTTATTTTCCATTCTTATTAATATAAACAAGCATATTTATCTAGCATGATTATTTCACTACTGAGTGGCCATCCAAGTGCTCATTAGGATCCTTTTCCATAAAAAAATTTAAACTCTAAAAAAAGATTAAAAGTATTTTCACAGTTTCCAATGAATACTCTGATTAGAGAAATCCGTTAGTTTTAGCAGACTTTTGCAACCAAAGCCCCCCACGTCCCAGTACACTTATCTAAGTCAATTTAACGCCAAGTCCCACAGAGGGGTGATGGGAAGGTTATGCTGAGGTTACAGAAAAGGAGTAACAGGTGCCAGCAGGTAATACAGCGCTTAAGGCACTGTACTCTCATGTGGCTGGCTGCAGTTCGAGTCCTAGACCGGGCGACTTGAAACTCACTCCAGGCACAGGAGCATGAGTGCCCAAAAAAGCGAGAGGAGAATGAAGGAAAAGGGACTGCAGTGTGGCCAGCCCTCTGAGGGGCTGATTTCTTGCTTTCGGTCAGTCTCTGTCTCTCCAGCAAGCGCATGTGCCCTATAGTAAAAATCTCTCAGAAAAAAAAAAAAAGAAATAGAAAGAAAAGAAATTAATAATAAATAGCCTAGTGTTAGAAAAATAAACAACATATTTGTCCCATGCACCTACCAAATCATTCACTGTGATCCATGCCATGATCACACCACCATTTTTTTTTTTCGTTTTTTAAAAGAGATTTTTGGAATAGGGCATGTGTGCTCACCAGAGAGACGGAAAGCAAGAAATCACCACTACCACCACCCTGCCCCGAGGGATGGCCACACTGTAATTCCTTCTCCTTTATTCTCCTCATGGGCTTTTGGGCACACATGCACACATGCCTGGCCTGAGTTTAAGCCACCGGGTCCAGGACTCAATCCGCGGTCACCTACATGAGAGTCTAGAAACATAACCATTACACCATCTGCTGGTCCCCACACCACCATTTTTCTAAAAAGGAAAAATTAAATCAAAGTACATTTTGGTAGACAAGTGTGCAGATATTTAATATTGTTTATGGGTTTCAATGGTGGTCTGATACAATTTTTAAGAGAGAGTAAAATAAAACTAATAAGCTCTCAGGAGTCCTTTATAGGAAAAGACTTTACTTTTTTGTTCAACAAAAGCATTTTCATAATGGGAGACGTTTCATAGCAGCAAACAGATACTGTACGCACTCAGGGTACGATCTCACGTTGAAGACACCGGGATGTGCGAGGAGAACATAGGCTATCACGTGGCCTTCACAGCAGAGGACACAAAGGGTAATGCACAAAGTACCAAGAAACGCAGGAGCAGATGCTCTTCCCCCACAAGCTGTGTGGAGAGTCAGCAGCCAGATGTGCCAACAAAGTTTCAAGTTATAAGTCAAATAAATTTATCAGTGTAGATTTTTTTAAATTGCAAACATAAATTAAAATGAAAAATATCTGCATTGCAGTCTAGGTTTCCGAGATGTCTCAAGAAATTCTGAAGGTTCATCAGAAAAGAATAACTAAGATGATTTCATAGATGAGTCTAATTACATTTGCTTGCTGAAAGTGGATAATGCAACAGTAACATAATATGAAGAGGACACAGGACTGGCATATCTCCCCAAGTCAAAATATGTTTCATTATATTATCATATCACACCAAATACTATAATACGGCATTGGAAATTAAATTCCAGAGGGATGAATAAAACTCACTAAATGATGAGTAAGGATGACGCATGATTGTACAGAGAATCAGCTATTCAAATTTAAAAATAGAAGTCATCCTTCTATTTCTCCTAAAGTAGTGTAATACTGTAAACATTTCATCAAGATTCAAAGGAAAACAAAGATAAATTGGGAGCAATATCTCCTGGAAAGATCTGAAATAGTTCTGTAGAAATTGCCCTGCCTCGATCCTATTTTTTCTTCAAGACGCATCCCTTGAAGGACATTGCCAATGGGTCGATACCTGGCCTTACCAATTTTAGAGTGCTCTAATGATTTCCTATTGTTTGCACAAGTGGCAATCTTACACTCGGAGAAATATGCCCTTTACATTTATTGGTGGCAGCAAGATACCACATGGTTTAACTCTGAGAGTCAGAAATGGAATTCTTCCTTTAGAATAAAACTGGTACTGCAGCATTGGGGCCCATGGGTTGGTATTCTCCATAATAAGTTGAAAGACAGATCCATGCAGAGGAAGAGGGGATGGGTTGGGAGAGTGGGGCGGAGCCTAGTCATATTCCAAGATTGCCCTGGCCTTGCAGCCCTGCTTCTCCAATGCTGGGAGAGCTAATTTCACAAGCACTGTAAAGGACCTTGGTGACAACTCTGAGCCCTGAGCATGGACTGCAGATTCAAACCGGTTAAACGTGCCTCAGAGCATGCACTGTGCCGCTGTATGAAGCAGGCTAACAGATACAGCGCTGATGACCAACTTCCATGGCCACTTTGCAAAGAATATCGGTAAACCAAACTCTGGGAAGCGCACCTGCTCCTGGGATGACCTTGTATCATCACAGCTTCCTGGAAGACATGGATTCAACGTGATTCCCAGTTCTTCAGGGCAGAGCCAATGTTAGCCACACTTGCAATGCGAGACGTAACAACTAAGCTCCCAAAGAACAGAGAGACAAGATTCTGCTGCTTTGAGTGTGTACCAGGAGCAGGGGAGGGAAGACAGGGAGGCTCCGAGAACCAGCTATGGAGGGTAAAAATGGGTTCAGGGAAACTGAAAACTAGAGGATTCTAGACCTAGACCTTTTGCATCAACGTAATAGCTGTGGGAACCACCTGATGGAATAATGGTTATGACAATGAACTCCCACAGAGTCGACCACGGTTCGAGACCCAGACCTAGCAACTTAAAACACACTGGGTGAATGTGCACGTGTCCCCAAGATCTTGAGAAGAGAATGGAGAAGAAGGGACTGCAGTGTGGTCATCCCCCCGGGGGATGATTTCTTGCTTTCAGTCTCTCTGTCTCTCCAGGACATGCCCTTTAGCAAAAATCTCTCTAAAATAAAAAAGTAATAGGTGTGAATTTAACTAATTATGACCAATTCCTTTATAAAAAATACCAGTAGTTCTCAATTTTTCTTAGATCCATCACAATTGATAGATTAAAATTTCATCCTCCAATCCCATCACCCAAATCTCCCTGGCCCCATTACTGACACCAATGTAATTTGTATTTGAAACATGTAAATATTTATCGGTAGGCAGATGTAACAACTAAGCTCCCAAAGAACAGAGAGACAAGATTCTGCTGCTTTGAGTGTGTACCAGGAGCAGGGGAGGGAAGACAGGGAGGCTCCGAGAACCAGCTATGGAGGGTAAAAATGGGTTCAGGGAAACTGAAAACTAGAGGATTCTAGACCTAGACCTTTTGCATCAACGTAATAGCTGTGGGAACCACCTGATGGAATAATGGTTATGACAATGAACTCCCACAGAGTCGACCACGGTTCGAGACCCAGACCTAGCAACTTAAAACACACTGGGTGAATGTGCACGTGTCCCCAAGATCTTGAGAAGAGAATGGAGAAGAAGGGACTGCAGTGTGGTCATCCCCCCGGGGGATGATTTCTTGCTTTCAGTCTCTCTGTCTCTCCAGGACATGCCCTTTAGCAAAAATCTCTCTAAAATAAAAAAGTAATAGGTGTGAATTTAACTAATTATGACCAATTCCTTTATAAAAAATACCAGTAGTTCTCAATTTTTCTTAGATCCATCACAATTGATAGATTAAAATTTCATCCTCCAATCCCATCACCCAAATCTCCCTGGCCCCATTACTGACACCAATGTAATTTGTATTTGAAACATGTAAATATTTATCGGTAGGCCACAGAGATCCTGACATTTTCCTGGCTGGGCAATGGGCAAAAGTATGGCAATCTATTTAAAAGGTGATAGAGACACATGGGCCCTTGCAAAACTATCAAATTAAACTTTAAGACAAACTTCCCAGAGAAAAAGTCATTACTTAAAAATGAAATACTCTATAAAGAAAAAATTCCTTATACTTAAACCCAATTGCAAACTTTCAATGTGAAAGGCAGGAGCTGAGATACTTATACACTATTCCCATGGGAAGACCACAGTGCCACAAAAAACCATTATGAACGAATGGTCAGAGTCAAAATCCTCTGTAGTGAAGCAGTGACAAACGCACAAGTCAGTCTCGTAAGGCCTCTCCTCCCAGTGTTACCAGTAAGCTGTGTCCCACGGCGACTGCAACACTGCGTAAGAATCATACCCTGAAAGTCAGGTTTCTTTCTCCTCCAACACCAAGAGTAGCCATTCTCTTTTTCTTATTCATTGCCTAACTAAGCCTTCCTTTGCTCTCATTTGGCATCAAGTTAGAATCACAATTCTACTATACACTACTTTTTCTTTACGACTCACAAAATGAAGGAATGTGCTAGCTGAGAAATGTAGTTTTGGAGTCAAGAAAAAAGAAAGGGTATGTTGGGCCATTGGAAAAATCATGGCGCATTTTTGCAGAGAAAAACATGTCATGACTTTTCTGATGACCCAATATTTTAAAGCGTAAATTCTCTAGGCAATTTCAGTTTAAATCCTTAAGTTAGATTCACATGGAAATATCGAAGACCTTGATAGATTTACTGTGGTTCACTGTGAACATAATCAAAACATTGCTTTTCCCTGCTTTCACTGTGCCTTTATCAAGAAAAGTAATCAAATTCAGTCATGGTCATTTTCAGCTTTTCCTCCTGTATTATAGAAAAGCAGGGGCTCCAGAAACCACATTGTGGCTATTCAAACTCTAGACGACCTAGAACAATCAATTTCCTTTAGCACACAAACCAAAATCGACTCACCAAGTTGGAGATCATGCTCTGGTCTGTCTGCATTGTGAACAATGAAGTGTCCTGAGGCTGAAATTTGGTAAGAAAACACATAATTTTGACAAGGTACTTAAATTAGTTATCAATTATGTCAGCAAATACATTTGAACATTTTTTTAAGTCTCATTTTATTTAAACTCAAAAAATTAAGACAAAAAATGTCAAAGTAAGCACAAGCTACACTTCTAGCAAATCAGAACTCTCTGCTAGCAGAGTCCGTGAGTCCTTAGCAAAGGGCACTGGCTTCAGGGGCATCTTCGGTCCGCT